TTTTGTTGAAATCCAGCTTTAATCTCAATGACCAGATATTTTACAGAAATTTAAATTTAGACATTCATGTATAAAATTGAAATGGCTAAAAGTAATCATTGATGTTTAGTTCTCTGAGTGCTCCCATTTCTTGTATTTGTTTACAAAAATGTTCCCAAATTTAAAATTTAAGGTCATGGATATCTTTGAAGCTTTTGCTAAATGTAAACTTGCTTCATCTCAGAATCTGTAAAATCATTGTGGGTATGATTTAAAAGACTGTAAAATTTCAAGCAGGAAAAAAAGGTTAGTTTAAAACATGTAACAATAAAAGGTTAATAGTAAAAAGAATATATATATATATATATATATATATATATATATATATATATATATCTCCCTGGGAAGCAGATATGGGATGAGATGGGGTTTGGGAGGGTGACAGGGGAAAAGGGGGAGGGGGGAGGGAACTGGGATTGACATGTAAAACAAGCTTGTTTAAAATTTAAATAAAAATATTATCATAAAAAGCTGGTTATGGAAAATTGAATGCTTAAATAAAATGGGTTAAACTTACAATGCATTTGCATGTCAGGATGTCCCCAGGTCCACCAGACTAAGTTGCATGCTAGCTTCATTAAAGAATAAGTATGCATGGGAGATAAGACCTGTCAAAAGTCTGCTGCTTGTACTTCCAGCTGGGTAGTACTGACCAACAATGACGGTGTATGCCAACAAGAAATGTCTCCTCCTTATCTATAAGGAAAATGACTTACACCTCATGCCTCTCATGACAGTGTGATTGATTCTCTTGCCCAGTGGAAGTCTTGGAGTCTGCACCTGCGACATAAACAACAGAAGGGCAAATAGCAACTGCTCTGCCCTCAGTATCTCTCCAACTGGCATGCAAGGATGAACAGGTGTCATACTCAGAGTTTCTATTGATGCAACAAGACACTGTGATCAAAAGCAAGTTGGGGAATTTTGCTAGCTAATATTGTCACAGCAGTCCTGAAATCAGGACTAGTCACTGTTACCATGAATATACTGAATACCCACTTCCTCTCACTGGCTCATTCTATCACTCCAATATCTACCCTTCCCTCCTTCCCCCTTCCCAGGAAATCCCTCACTTTATGCAATCAAATCATCTGCTTCTGGCCCTGTAATGACTATTTGACAAAAGTCTCTCAAGGCAAGTTATCACATGTTTCACTGCAGTCAATCAATGTAAAACTGTATTTGAATTAAATGACCAGAGGAAATACCTCTTCAATGGACCTGGAGCTGCACCCCTTTCCCACACCTGATGGGAGATGTCATTCTGTAAATATGTTTCTCCTATTGGTTAATAAATAAAGCACTGTTGGCCAATAAGAAAGCAAGATAGATGGGACTAGGAGAGATGGAGTATTTTGGGAAAGGTAGAAGAGTTTTGATGTGACCTCAGGAGGAGAGGACTCGAGTCTGGTATTCTCAGTAGGATAAGACCATGTAGAAATACATATATTAGTAATTATGGATTAATATTTAAGACAGAGCTAGCCAATAAAAAGCTCTAGCCATTAGCCAACAGCTTTATAATTAGTAGAGTCTATGTGTGTCCTTTATAAGACCATGTAGAAATACATATATTAGTAATTATGGATTAATATTTAAGACAGAGCTAGCCAATAAAAAGCTCTAGCCATTAGTCAACAGCTTTATAATTAGTAGAGTCTATGTGTGTCCTTTTGGGACTGATGCAGCTCTGGGACCAGGCTGGTGGGAAAGTGTTCATAACACCCACCAATGATCATTCTTAGCAGAACTGTATAAGGAAAATGCTATGCTCCCAGGCCCCTCTCCTTTTGTAATCCTATAGAGTTTGGAGATTGGCTGCCCCTCACTGTGAGCCAATAAACACAGTGCAGTCTGCTAAAAGGTTAGACTCCCATATCCTTCTGTCTCCCATCTCTTTAAGATGTCTCAGAAAAAAAAAAGAACCCAGAATCACTTCTATGATAAATGGACATAGTATTAAAATGACTCCCAATGGTTGATTGCTAAACCCACAAATCAGAATATCTATAAAAGCTCATCAGGGATGCTTTATCTTACAGTAGACAGATAATTTTTCTCTGCTTATACTTTCCTGTTAAAACCTCCCATAAAATTATTGTTATATTTTACATCTAATAAGTTAAACTGTTTATACATATTAATATTTTTGCATGAAACACTGGCAATTTTACCTTAGTGTGTGTAGTCTATACTAAGCAGTCGTATATAAATACTCACACATTTGTCTGCATTAGTGAAATTGAACACCTTCCAATTCTTCAAACCAGAAAAATAACTGATGTATATTTTTAAAGCACTGAGAAACATAAAAATTCCTCATTTTGAAAGTAGGGGTTCTTTTTGATACAGGGTTTCTCTGTGTAGCTCTGGCTGTCCTGGGACTCAATTTTTAGGTCAGGTGGCCTTGAACTCATAGAGATCTGTCTGCCTCTGTTTCCCTGATTTCCTTGGGATTAAAGGTATGCACCACCTTCCAGCATATATATATATATATATATATATACATATATATATATATGTATATATATATATATATGTATATATATATATATGTGTGTGTGTGTGTGTGTGTGTGTATAATAATACAGTTCCCCCTCTCTCAACTCATCTCCGATCCTCTCCACTCCCTTCCCATCCAAATCCACATATTTTCTTGTTCTTTCTTAGTAGAAAACAAACAGACATCGAAAAAAAAGAAGAAAAAGAATGAATGATAAAATAAAAACAAATTATCTCCATAAGCTTCACTTAAAGATCTTTTCACAAATTGGCTAGTTCCTATATATTCCTGCACACTGAAACTATTACTAAAGCCCCACTTCAGATTTAATCCCTCATGTATCTGGTATAAATCACTAGTGAAAATGGAACCATCAGGTGATCTGCACATGACTACCATCTGTCAAGTTTGATATTTAGAGAAAATTATGTGCATCACATTTTAAATTATATCATCTGGCAAGCAAGCTAAACTCACATATTATATGACAAACAGGCAAAACCTTGCAAAACATGCAGGAGAACATGTCTTAATTTACATGCCAGCAAGTAAACATTCAACTTCCACCCACCACCAGGTTGAAAGAATTCCTTCCTATGGAAACATAATATCATATTTTATTGTGCAGTGTTTGGAGAATGAGAGCATTCTTCACAAATGCTTCATTATATTTACCCTTTAGTGTATCCAGTAGCTTTCTTTTGCCATTAGTCACAGATTAGTTAAGAACTTTAGTCCAATTCTAAAAGTTAGGGCCTGATAGGAAGGTTATATCAGAGGTGAAGTCATAACCAGTAGTACTAGGCATGGATTTCTTTTCTCTAACATTGACTTACCAATGTTAGAGAATGTTTCAATGTTATTGAAAAACAAAAGCAAAACAAATATATGTGGCATCATAAGATAAAAGAAACAAACAAAATATTCTAAGTGCTCCAATGGTATCTGCATCACAAAAAGAATCATGTCATCTTTCTTTTCTGAGTGGAAAATGTTAAAATTACCTATCTCGAGCAAACCCAGTTGCTGAGAATCTAGAAGGACAGATGCCAAAAATGTTTAGTTACTGTCTAAGTAACCATCACCCACATAAAAAAGACAGGCATGGCTACATGAACCTGTAACCCACACACTGGAGAATACAGGCATATCCTGAGTGATTGCTGGTCAGAAATCCTCGCCAAAACAGCAAGCCGAAAGTGCAGGAAGAGACCCTGCCCTAAAAGAATAAGGTGGACAGTGAGAGAAGATGGCATCCAATACCCTTCTCAGGTCTCTATGAGCACATTCTTGAATATCCATAAGTGTGAAACACACACACACACTCGGTAACAAACTAACTGAAACTTCTGGAATATATAGTCATAACTTGACATTCTGGTGTCATGGGGCAGAGCAACCACCTATTTTACTAAAACTGTCCAAAACTCTGAAAACACTGTAACTTCTACTTTTGTGCTTAAATACTGATTACATTCCTTAGCTGTTTTTGTTGCTATGAAATTAAGGGGTAAACAAATATGGATTTTGGCTCATGGTATAAAAAAGTACAGTTCATGATTCTACTGACTCCATTGTAATGGACCAAACATAAGGATGAATTTATGGCAGGAAGCATGTGGTGGGGACATGAAAGACATGAAAATAAGTGGCAAGTGTTGGGGGACAGTTACTTCTTCCCAAAATAATGTCATCATCTGGAGACTAGACTTGAAAACATACAAACCAAAGGGAGAATTTCACGTTTGAGTCATCATTTTTCCACAAGTAGACAAAAGACTGACCACCATCCTGTAAAGCATTTAGTACATCTTCAAGAATCTTCATTTAAGGCTGTAGCATATATATGATTTTTTCACAATTGATTAACAACTAAAATAGTACTAAGACTGAGGTTAAAGCATAATATATGTTAAAAAGCAGAATAGGCAAAACCAGGAATTTTTTAAAGTAAAAATAGAGCTCCTAGTAGTCATTATAGTAGTGGTGGTGGTGGTGGTGGTAGTGTGAGTGTGTGTGTGTGTGATCAATTGCTCAACATTTGGAAATAATGCAGTCTTATTAGGCACATAGTTAGTAGGAAGAATTTCAAGTGCGTTTGATGTTGTAATGCTGATTCCATCAAATCAAGTAACAGGTTACCTGCACAGACAATGGAAGAAATTACAAAAATTGCAAATTAGCCCATCTTTATTTGCATTGTAGCACATTGTAATTCGGTGGTTCCTTATGAACTGGTATGTTACACACACAGGAGTTTAAAGAAGTTCAGACAAGCTGGAAGGAAAATGCAAGATTTTCATGCTAAAATGCAGAAGTAAGTCACAAGTAAATCTTCATTTTTTTCAGTTTTAACATTGCACATGTCATTTTTTATAATATATAATATTTCTGAATTTTAGAATAATCTGCTAAGAATTATTCACCATTGGAAACTGAATTGGGGGTCACCTAAGGAATGGCTACTATTCTACAGATCATACTGACAACCATTTTCATTGTTGAGTTCTTCATTGGAAATTTGGGGAATGGATTCATAGCACTGGTAAACTGTATGGACTCTGTCAAGAGAAGAAAGATTCCATCAGTGGATAAGATCCTCACTGCTCTGGCAATCTCCAGATTCACTGTAGTATGGGTCATATTTCTAGATTGGGTGGTGTTTATAAAAACCTACCCTTTATTGATGACTAGAAATACACTAAGAATAATTCACGTTGCCTGGAATATAAGCAATCATTTCAGCCTCTGGCTTACTACTAGCCTCAGCATCTTTTATTTTCTTAAGATAGCTGTCTTTTCTAATGCTCTTTTCCTTTACCTAAAGTGGAGAATTAAAAGGGTGATTTTGATGGCATTGCTGCTATCACTTGTCCTTTTGATTTTGAATACATTTCTAGTTACCAAATATATTGACGCCTGGATTGATGGATACAAAATGAACACATCAAGTTTTGTAGAATTTCCCAGGTTTATTTTATTGCCAAGTTTAATGTTCACATTGGTACCCTTTGGGGTATCCTTGACAGCTTTCCTCCTCCTAATCATTTCCCTTTGGAAACACATCAGGAAGATGCAGTGTTATACCAAAGGTTGCAAAGATATCAGAACCTTGACGCACATCACAGCCTTGCAGACTGTAGTCGTCTTCCTCCTATTTTACACCACTTTCATTCTGTCTCTAGTTCTAGAGTTTTGGGTGTTTGATATAGAGAAAAGGGCAACTCTTCTGTTTGCAAGGGTCACTATAACAATTTTTCCTTCCATACACTCATGTGTCTTCATTCTGGGACACAGGAAGCTGAGACAGGACTTGCTTTCAGTATTGTGGTGGCTGAGGTATTGGAGCAAGCATGTGAGAACTTTGGATCCATGATTACTCTGCATCACTTTAACTCTCCCAGAGGAAAAGAGGGTTATAAGAAGTTATTGAATTTCTAAATTTGTGCTTTTCATATATTTTTTAAACTTTCTTAGTTTTATGGAAATTTGTTCAGATGGGATTATCCAAACACACTTCAAACTTATTAGTAAGCAAACCTGTAAATATTTTGTCATAGATAAAATTTTAAGATTTACAGATCTGCAATATATTTCTGTAGTGAGTGATAGTTACTAAAAAATAGTAAAACCCTCAAGTGTGTCTTCTTATACTTCCTTTTTTAACTTGATTCTCTTATCTTTTACAGGTAGGACTTTATGTCACTTGCACATAATTGTTTATAATGTTTATTTTATTTATTGTTTCCAATTTTTACTATTATTTTACTGAAGTTGGTTGTATAGTAAAATCGCCCAAGATTTAAAGTGTAAAGTAGTAACTGTGATAATTATCTCTGTTCATAAATAAAGTTTTTTTCCAGTCTTCCCCGTATGTGTAAACATATTCACATGTTTAAATTAGCATTAATTTGATACCACCAGAGGCAACTGAAATTCAGAAATTGTATACAAAATAATGACAATAATATTTACAAGGAGAACAATGTATTCCTTCATGTATACTGTCTATATTAACCAAATGAAAAGTCACATATTCACATGTTTATAATAGCATTAATTTGACACCCCTAGAGGCAAATTGAAATTTGGAAACTATAAATAAAATAATGACAAGTGATATTTACAAATAATGCAAACCTAATTGCTTGAGAAATATTTTCCCCTCAAAACGGCAGTATTAAAAAAGAACTGATTTCTATTTTCAAATTGCTTAAAGTGTAACCGTAACTATCCATACAGAATCTGTGCTATAAGTAAATCAACTGATATCTTTTCAGTATAAAAGAGGTAATTCACTGTAGTCGAACATGTCTCTCCTGCCTACCAGCTCCCAAATAATCAACACAGAGGCTTAATACTATTTATATATCCTCATCTGATGGCTCATGATTATTACTAGCTAACACTTACATAGTCCTTATTTATACTCTGCCATGTGAAGGTACCTTTATTAGCATTGCAAGTTCATCTCCTACTCCCTCTGTGCCTGTCTTGAGACTCTGCCCTTCTCCTTTTCATTATCCTTAATTTGGTCACCCTGCCTATACTTCCTGCCTGGCTATTGGCCAATCAGCATTTTATTAAACCAATTCTAGTGAAAAATCTTTACAGTGAACAAGAGGTTTATTCCATAGCAATTCATGAACTGGGGAATGTGGTTTAATGAAAAGAGTTCTACTTTAGAATTCATGAAGTTTGATCTTCTGGGATTGATCCCCAAATTGCCTTAGTTAGGATTATTATTGCTGTGATAAAATACCATGACCAAAGCAATCTGAGGAGGGTTTATTTGGCTTACACTTCCATATCACTGTTCATTAGTGAAGGAAGTCAGGGCAAGAAGAACTCAAGCAGGGAAGAAATCCGGAGGCAGGTGCTGATGCAGCTGCCATGGAATATGCTGATTGCTGGCTTGCTGGCTTGCTGGCCATGGCTTGCTCAGCTTGCTTTCTTATAGAAATCAGGACCACTAGGTCAGGGGTGGCACCAACCACAAGACTGGGCCTTTCTACATGAGTCACTAATTAAGAAAATGCCTGACAGGCTTGCCTAGTCCAATCTTATAGAGGCGTTTCCTTAATTAAGTTTCCCTCCTCTCAGGTGGATTTTGCTTGTATCAAGTTAACATAAAATTATCCAGCACACCCAGTACTGCATAAAACAAGGCACAGTGGCACATGTTGGTTATCCTAACACTTAAGAGAGGGGCAGAAGAATTGAAAGCCATCCTGGGCTATATAGTGAGTGAAAGGCCAGACTAACGAACACAAAATATGTTCCCAAACAAAAACATGAAACAAACACTGAAAACAAACAAACAAACAAACAAACAAAAAGAGACCAGTGTCCTGTATTACAAGCCTATCTTCATGGAAAAGTATTACTAATGGACTTGTTTCAAAAACGCTATTATTTCAAAATCCTAATGTGGAAATGTATTATGCCTGCCTTTGACACTTGATCTTTATGAACACACTCAAGCTTGGAAAATATCACAGGGGTATAAGTGGACTTTCTTTCCTTCCAGCCAGTCATATAATGGCACAGAGATTTAATATTAATTATAGATGCTTGACTGATAGCTTATGCTTGTTACTAACTAGCTGTTACAACTTAAATTAACCCATACTCCTTATCTACCCCCTGCCATGTGATGGTACCTTTCTTTCACCACAGCATATTAATCCCTTGCTTCTCTTGCTTCTGGCTGGCAGCTCCTTAGACTCCACCCTTCTTCTTCCAAGCATTCTCTCTGTCACAAAAATCCTGCCTAGTTATTGGGTCAATGCAGCTTCTTATTAACAATGAGAAAAACACATTTTCACAGTGTACAGAAGTATTATATTCCACAGCACAAGGGTCAAGTTCTAGCCCAATAACACTGATGCCTTCTGAGAAGTAAAGAAATCTCAGCAATCTGTCAGCACAGAGGAAAATCATATGAGCTCACAGAGGAAAGTCCTGTGAGAAAGTGGTCTGTGTAAGCCAATAGGATCACCAGAATCAAGCCCTACTGGCTTTGGGTCTAGCCTCCTACCCTATAGAACTTATGGAAAATATATTTTTGTTGTTGAAACCACTCAGCCTATGAAGTCTTATTAGAGAAGCCCAAGCATACAAATACAAAGGGAAAATTATAAAAAAGAAAAATGGTATTTCAAACTGAAATATTAAGGCCACTGAGAAGACACATAAGAACTTCATACATATTGTAATAAATATGAAGTCTTTTATAAAATAATATCATTGTAGTTCTACATGAAATAGAATGGATAAACATAATAATTTCTGCCTGCATGAATTTTTACTTAGTATATGTATTTATTACTATGAAAAAACCTAGAGGACACATAGTAAAAGTTTGACTAGTGTGTGTAGATTTTTAAATGAGAAGAACAATGCTCTGATTTAGAACAAGACAATCATTTCTTCTTGCATGGTCAGAGAGTAAGAAGTATTTTTATAAATTAACAACTGCATAGTACCTAACTTATGGAAGCATAATTACTGGTGAACTGATACTGGAGGTTTTTTTTCCATCCAGACCCCACTGCTTCAGCTCCAAATGAACACTCAGAGACTTATATTAATTATAAAACTGTTGGCTGATGGCTAGTGCTTCTTATTGGCTAGCTCTGACTTAATTATTAACCCATTTCTATTAATCTAAATATTTCCACATGTTCTTATCTTACTGGAGAATGCCTGGGCCTGTTTCTTTTTTTTTTCCAGCTACATGGCATCTCTCTTTGGTCCCTCTCTGCCTATCTTTCCCAGAATTCTCCTCATCTCATAGTCCCACCTATCTTCCTGCCTCCTTTGGCCAAACAGTGTTATTCATCAACCAATAGGAGAAACATATATACAGGACATCACCCATTAGTGAACAGATTGCTTTGCCTCACTAGTATCATCAACTGAAAATGATTCATCAATAGGGAAATAGAAAAAAATATAATTGCAACTAAAAGTAGTAAATTAACACAGTCCATACTTTCTCAAATACCTTAGTCAATCACATAATATGCACATATACAGGCATTCTATGTGTTGTTGGGATATTGATTATCAGCTATATTTGTGGATACAATATTTGTGGTTATAAAATTAACTCATGTAAAATGAGTTGAAAATAAACTTGAGTTCTTTATTATAGTTTAAATCACCTCAAATTTCTTTTAATACCCAATATATTTTAGGTAGTTGTTTTCCTCCATTTGCCAGGTGATAATGAAAAGATAACTTGTGTCCATATTCTATGGTTGGGATTTTTCAAAGTATTTTCAACTTCTGGTTGATAGAATCCTTATATGTAGAAAATGAAGACATGGAGTGCTATCAAAATAATCAGAGAGATAACAGGGAAAATTAAAATACACAGGTGCAATAAAACATAAGAAACCAGATGCATATACTATTAGAGAAAATAATAATAGTAATCAGAAAAGCACAAAATATATGTCAGCACATGAATTTACCAAAAATCCAAACTCTACATTCCCCAGATAGTTTTACTTCTTTGATTAGCATCAGAGTAGCTTCTTCATTATAAACCCCACAAACGCTGAATGCTTCCCCAGTAACAGATACAGACAGATTTTGCAACAGACCAAAGATAATCAGAGAAATTATTAAAAAAAATGTGCAGAAACAATCTCCCTATTCCCCCTGGTCAGATATCTGGAAATATATGGAGAGTATATTTTTCTATAATACGTTCAATTTAGCTTGATAAGTGTTTTAATTACTTTAACCTGTTGCTATAATTAAATAGCCTTCCTCCCCTCAAAACTTATAGAATGTAGGCATACAGCTCTAGAGGATCATTCCTATTACCAATAGACTTGACAGACAGCAAGGTGGAAAACATGGAAATAGAAGGAACTGGGATGGTTGTGTTACTTTTGCCCACAGAAGAAAGTAAATAGGAAATTCAGCAGGCCTCTGAATCTTAAGACTCTCCTCCGGCATTCACTTATTCCAGGAAGGTTCCTTTGCTCTGCTCATGGTTCCACAACTTTACCAAGCAGTGCCCTCAGGAAATCAAGTATTTATAAACACAGCATATAAGGCATGTTTTACATTCAAACCATTCATCTTTCTCTGGCCTTTGTGGGTTCAAGACCATCTTATGATATAAAAAGCATTTAATCAATCTTCCAATATCCTTATTGTCATTAACATTATTAATTCTGTTCCAAAGTCCAAATTTCTTCACAGATTTAAGGCAATCTGTTAGTTGTAAGCCCCCATAGAATAATATATATATATATATTATATATAATATATATATGTATATATCATATAATGATGCAAAGTAAGCATCCCTATTCAAAAATGATGGCATGGAAGAGAAAGACCAGACTCAAGAAA